GATGTGTTTTTATTTAACAATCAGGCTCAAGCGACTCAATGACCTACTCTTGTTCTTATTTTCCATGATCTTCTTCTCAATTGAAAAGCACCTATGACCTCTGAGGTCATTTGAAATAGTCCATCTGTTGATGGCCAGGCTTTGAACTACCACAATGAGTGTATCCTTGCTGGACAGGTTCAGGATAGGTAGGGCCCTATACAGTCAACATTCACATTTTGGGCATCAGTACTTATACACTCATGAAGAGACACAAAACGTATTGCATATTATTGAGCAGTGGCCTCTCTATGACTAAGTGGTAGACTAATCACTTTGAACTCTACAAATGAGAAGGTTATTGCTTGCTCTGGGGATCTGTAATCACTGAATAAACAAATTGAAATTGTCTCTTAAATTCCACAATGAGCGCTGTTTGGATAAAAAGTTGTATTTTTGTTCATAAGAACATATGGTTAGTGAATACAGAATAATTTGGGAAGGGTTTTATCTAAGTACTTTAACGTTGCAGAGGAGACAGTAGGAGGTGGCAGCAAAATTAATCTTTTGCTTTGAAGCTTGAAAGAAAAGAACAAGTTTGAAATAGCCTCAGGCTGCACTTTTGGTGGAATATGTCTGCTGTCAGTAATTTATATGAACACTAGCTTAATATGTCAATATTAATAAAATATCAGTTCATTCAGCAATCAAGATTCTAAAATTGATAGAATTGAGACCACAATAATATTTAGATATGCAAGGCACACATTTTAAACTACTCGCCTTGCATTTAGGTTTAACTCCTAGGTATGATCAAGACATGAGTCCAGTACTTTCAGAAGCAGCACTGTGAAAACAAAATAGAGGAGGCCCAACATTTGCTGGCAAAGCTCAAAGAATTATTCCTGACTATCTCAGCTCACAAAGAAGCTACTGTAACTATTGAGTGTATATCAAATCTTTCTTTATTCTGCTTCTTCTGGTCATAGCTGTTGCTCACAGCATGTCCTTTCGGAGGGGTGACCCCTGCTCAGGATACAGCATAAAATGATTGGCCAGCTGTAAATTGAGGAAGGACAATATTCATTTTAAAAGAGCACCTTCCTGTCTTGAGGATGCTATTCTTACAACTTTCAATTAAAAATTGTAGTTGGCTAAATGGAGGGGAAGAGTTGGCGCATCACGTACTCCATTATAACCTTCCCATTAATTGACTACGTAAGGGCTTTTATTGATGGCAAGTCAAGAAAGTCTCCAGTGTATTGGCAAAGGCAGCAAGAAGGTGATGAGCATCTCTGTAGGGCCAGCTTGTCCAATTATTTCTCCTCTTGCCAGCTCCAGGGAGGAATTCCATCCCAAACCTCAAAAGGGGTACTTGTGTGTAGTCAATAGGTCCCTGAACAGTTTGGAATCCAACGATTCTGGCAAATCCACGTACTTGCTAACCCTGCCTGGTGACAACCCAAGATAATTGCTACTTTTTGTAGATATGACCTGAGTCACCAAACAGATGCAACCATGTATGACTTATTGAAGGTGTTGGCTATGTCACCCACTTCCACCTGGCATTCTCCTGGGTTGATTAATTCTAAGTTGCAAAGAGATTAATCAAATCAGCAGTGAGTCCAATACCATTTTATATTTTTTGGGCTTCGATAGTGCTGAAACCATGACATCCAATTTCGGGGCTGAAAATTTTAATAAAGGTATAAATTGGTGAATCACGAAAGTGACCATTCAAACACTTTCCATTCATTATCCTCATCTGGTATAGGCCTGAAATTATGGTGGGGGTGGGGGTGTGGGACAGTAAACTGTCCAGTTACCCCGTGAATAAGCAGTCAGACACTGACTAACAAAGGAAATGTCTGCTCGACAGCAATAATGTGGGGTGGGCAACATTAGCAGGTTATAAGTGGGGCTGACTTTCATTTCTGATGGAGAGGATGTTTCGCCTTCTGATTGGTTGGCAGCTCTAAGAGATCCTGAGCACCAAAAGTTTGGTAGTGAGTACTACTGGGACTGCATTCCCATGAACCAAAGCATGAGTTATGTCAGGGTAATATTGGGCTGGGAAAGACGGTTTTAGGTTTTGAAGTATAGACAGGTAGGAAAGAAGGGGGCTACTATCTCCTGGGATGGCTTTCAATGGATTTCACAGGCACCATCCAAAGACTGTCCCACCATCACTTCCCAGCATTTTAAATATTTAATAAAAACAGGCTGCTCATTCCCACATGGCTCCTCCAGCCAAACATATTATTACAGGAGCAGGATAACGTTGGGGTCAATTAAGCTTTTAACAAACTCAGTTAACCTTGACTTCCTTCCATCTAATAGTTGGGCTACCAATTTCAGCTTATCCATATTATGGGGTTGAATACACGGATGGAAAGGAAGTTGGTGGAGGAGATACATAATTCTTTGCCAAAGAAAGCGGGTGAAGCCAAAACATTGAATGTTTTCAAGAATTTTGATACAAAGCATCAGAGTTAAGGAGAGAAAGCAGGAAAAGGGTACTGGGTCAGATAATCAGCCATGATTATAATGAATGGCAGAGCAATCTTGATGGGCCGAAAGGCCCAGTGCTCCTATTTTCTTTTTTTAAATCTGTTTTGTATGGCCCCACATCAAAAACACACATAGTAGGGCTACATAACATCCATCCACAGTTTCAAGTCCTTTCCCTAAACTGCTCTCAAAGGAAACAATGCTGAAAGTATGTTGCTGGGGTGTATTATAAAACGTTATATTGTATGGTTTGTCTTTTAACAAAGGAAATAATAAATAACATTTTTGTATACAGGTGTAATTTGAAGAGGTGATTTTCAAGGGTGTTCTTTATTATTCAGCCCTCTTCAATGTTTTTGTAGAAGTTATGATCAAAGAAGAATTTGAAGGCGCAGAATTTGATGTTGAGATTGGGGACAAATGTTAACATCAGTTAAATTTGCAGATGGCATTGCACTTGCAACAAGCTCAGAAGGAGTACAAGAATTGGTAGACAGACCTAGGCATGAATTGTAGGAGGAAAGTGAATATTGACAAAACTAACGACGCACATCTCAAAATCATCAAGAAATATTCAGATATGCATAGAAGGAAGATAAATAAGAATAAAGACAAGACTTAAAGTGTTCAGGAAGCACAACATCTGCAGGTGGAGGATGCAACAAAGAAATAGGATCAAGAATAGCACAGGGAGAGGTTAAATTTGGCAAGAGATAGTTATTAACCTGGAGGCTCAATAAATCATTCAAAAAGCAACTTGTAAAGAATCTGATTTAGAGTTTATTTAAGATCGAAGACATGGACCGTATGGCTGGGAAAAATCAACACGTAAAATAGCTTTGAAACATGGGTTTGTTGGAGAATGGAAAGATCTGCTGGATAGAAATAAAACAAAAAAATATGAAGTGCTGTTCAAAGTGAATGAACAAAGACATTTGTTGAACATAATTAAGTAAAAGCAGAGAGACTGAACTTGAGGAAATGGACTTGTAATAGAGAGAAGATTCCAAGGACAAAGAGGAAAACATGAAATATCAATATTGGATGGCTTGAAATTGAAGGAAATTATTTATTTATTGGCAAATAAAAATAATGGCACAGCATACTGATAAATGAAACAGATTACAATGAGCCAAGGAACTACCTTCAGAGAAGAATGCCTGATGATGATAATATATAGGTATGTTATGTATATGAGATGATTATTCTGAATAAAGTTCAGTCTAAGGGCAAACAAAGCTGAAAATAAATGGTTGCTTGATTAACTGACAATTGTATGTCCCTAATTCATCTCAATAATAAATTTGAAAGTGATTACAGAATGTAGAATACAATTAATTACCAACGCATTTTAAATCAGTTGCTGCTAATTGCTTAACAAATATAGCTCTTGTGTGATGTTACAATACTAAGTTATTTGCTGCATTTGAGATGTGTGGTAAGTTTAATCATTTGCTGTTGTATATTAATAAGACTTTCCATTTAACACATTTTATTTCAGTTGACAACAGTATTTACATTCAACAATTATGCAACATCATAAATATTATTTTTACATTTTTAACAATTTATACATCTACCATTTCTAAAACATCTTACGTAACATGAAACATTTTTTACAGAAATGTACAAGCAAAACAGTAGAATGATAAAGGCACTTACTATTTACAGTAGTTTTAAAATTAACACTGCTTACAGTTGTGCTAAATATTACTAACTATATCAAAAAGGGGAGGAAATCCCTCTTGCCTGCAATGTGAACAACTTGTCAAAACTGACAGGATATTTGCCTCAAATTCTGTTCCATGGGAATATAATTTTTTTTTAAAAAGTACATTTCCACTGGACAATGTGGAAAGTTCAGAAAACAGTTCAGCAAAACAAAAAAATGTTGAGTGCCAACGGCAGACTCTTAAAATCTATTTATCATTTCCCACAGAAATTAGAGACTTGAAAGCTGTAAAGTGTATTGACAAAGTGAAGACTTTTGAAACACAGTTTACAACATGTCATTCCATTGTATATGAATCATCTCCTGTACAACTAAAACAATTAAATTTTTCTTACAACTTGAGCACAAGAAAATGATTAAATACCAAAAATTATGTTGAAACCATCTGAATCCTATCGGAGATGCAGCTCACATTTTCTCAAATGAAATGTCAAAGCCTCCAAACAAGAGATAATTTTATGAAATTTTGAACTCAGCTCCTATGAACTGTCTTGCCAAGAACAGTTAAAGGCTTTTCAAGCTTGCAAAATAAACTGTCAAGGGAGGTGTACAACAAATACCCAAATTTCAACATCTACATTTACAACAGTAATTAGCCAAATATTGTTTGTCCAAGTCCGTTATTGAACCTCACCCTCCCCTCAAAATATTACTGAGTTGTCATTATCTTGATTTCAATTCAAGTGGTGCGATGCAACAATTCACATATTAATTAAAGAACAGCAGAAGACTTCAGAGGAATGGAATGAATACCAATGTGTACCAAGGCAGCAAGTAATTATATCTGGGCACTTTTTACTTCTTTGTTGGCCCCAGTTTTAATTTTGTTTTGCTAAATACATACACTGCTGTATTACAGTAAAATATTATGTGTTTTTTAATTGCAAACATTAATATGCCAAAACATTATACTACCTTTTTATTTACAGGTAATTTCTAAACCTGACTTCTAAACTTACTGAATTCTAATCAAAATGCAATGTGAACAACTTTTCACACACAAACATTTTCAAGTCAGATATATTTCAGTGGCCAATTCTTTTCAAATGGCTCAGTACAGCAGACGAAATAATATTACAGTGTTCTGATCAAAAGAGAAGTACAGAATACCTACAACTGCAAACATGAAATAATTTACACACAATTCTGTCCAACAAAGCAACATTGCTGATATCAAAAATTTACATGCTCCTAACATATTTAAGGTGTCAGAGAGGATACTTATGGCCATGTTTCTTGAGTTGTGGCAAGAAAGTTTCATTTTTATATAGAGATATACATAGATATAAAACATGAATCAACCAAAAAATCTTCTCTCAAATAAAATGTTCCATTCTGATCTTGTACGATGATTAAGATCAATTCAATATATAAGGAACAGTAAAAGAAAGGTTTTTCCATCACAAGATACAACGTAAAATAATTCCCTGAAGCCTACAAGGCAAATAAAAAGAGATTTTGGGTGGGATTTTACCCAGTGAGAGGACAATTCACTTCTTGGAAGGAAAGTTTGCTGGAAGCTGGCTTGGTGCTAGCAAGCCATAAATTTCCAATTCTGGGACATTGGTTCCTACTTGGCAGAATGGTCCTTCCCCCACCCAGGAGGTGTCAGCCACTCCTGGCAGCTCCAGCATTGTGTAGTGGGCATTGGAGTGAGTTTTGGAATGAGCAGGAGAAATCTAATGGCTGCCCAAGAAGCTAAGTCCCAAGGTATTCCTACAGTGCAGTAAGAGGCTATTCAGCCCATCATGTCTACACCGACCCTCCGAAGACCATCCCGTCTAGACTCAGCACCCCACCCTATTCCCGTAACCCTGCATTTACCACGGCTAAGCCATGTAGCATGCACATCCCTGGACACTACTCAGCAACTTAGCATGGCCATATTACTGGTGGAGGAAGGATCCTGGAGTCAGGCAGGCAGATAAGGGTTGAGTTTTGGTAAATTCTTAATGTGGTATAACCCCAAAACCTTTCCCCTTTTGTTGAAGTAGGCCTTTTAAATGGCATGCACACTCTCACTGACTTTGCTTCAGTTGTATTATGGCATGAGCACAGTATTATTCAAGTCAACAGGTTCGTTAATATAGATTTTTTTTTAAAATATGGAGGATGACAACCAATTTTGGCACTCACCATCTAGCATATTATGGAACTCAGGAGGGGGGGGAGTGCAGGATGATTGGGGCACATAAAATCCAGTCCATTATTTCTAAGAAATAAATAAAATAATTTTGCTAATATTGCATAAGCCACATGGATCCACGGGACAAAGAGAAAAAATAAAAATGGTGATTTTACTTATCTACAGCTTTTGAAGGAAACCTTATGTTTTTCCATCAAATGGGACAGGTAGTTACAAATCATGCCTTTATTCTGCATCCAGTACATATTGCTCAAAGGAACTGCTCAGATAAACAAATACTGTAACATTGATAATGTTAATATCAATAACTTCCCATAGGGATTAAAGGGAGAGTCAAAGAGCTGAATTGTTTGCTTAGAACTACTGGAGGTAGGAGAAGTGAGAATTCCTGTGAGTTGTGATCTTTGCATACAATTGTTTGGCTTGAAAAAGCCAAAATTGAACAAGTGCCTTTAACAGCATTCAACAACAAGGGTATACTAACACTGACTCCATCAAAAAATTCAGACAAAGTCTGAATCTATTAGATACAGGAACTCATATGGACCAGAGCCTGAGTCTGATTAGTGAATAATTAACATCAGCCTCCAAAGATCTCAAAACTATGCAACCTCAACTGCTGCTTACAAGCTTTGTTCACTTTGGTTAGCATGGTCATATGTACTTCTATGAAAAGAATATGTGAATAAAGGTAGAATTGAAGATATGGGATATAGGTGATTAGAAAAATATAATAGTTGCAACACCTGTAATCATTGCAGGATTATCCAACTTATCCTGATCAGTGAAGACCCTATAAACCCAAAGGCTTGAAGGCTGAAGATTTGTGGTAGTACTATATCAATGTATCTGGGGAGCACTGTCAAGCTCATAGGATGCAGGCATGAAATCTCCATTGGCATCCTCTCGAGATAAACCTTTATGGAAAGAATTTGAACACTTAAGAATGCTCTTAATGGGGATAAAAGCTTGTTCCTGAGTGCACTGGTATACTTTAACTCAATCCAAGAAATTCAATTCCACTGGCATCACTCAACCTGCCAAAGGCATGGTGATTGAAGGCAATGTGTTCAGACACATTGATTTCTAGTCTAACATTCACATATATCTGACAGAAATAGCAGCACAAAGCCCGGTGAAAACTATGTTTAATTCTTATGATGACAGATTTTACACTGAAGGGTTTTTTCCCTACCTACCCCACTCAATTGATGTGATGTCAGTCACAGATGTTTGATGATGGGATGTGTTCCAAGAAAAAATTAAGAACTCAAATTTGCTACCTTTCAGGTGTCAGCGAAAGTGACAGATAACCGTTGCTTTGTGATTTATGCAGTTTTATGAAAGATTTCTTTGAACTATAATGTTCTGTTTGATTATTCATTATTTGGATTAAAAAGGCTATTCTGCAGACCGGCTATTCCAGGATACATATATGATCTGAGTAAACTGGTCTGTTAAGTATGTAGACTCAATACTAATGCCTGCGAGGGATCACAATGATGAGCTGCAATATTTAATTACCACCAGCACAAGAGGACATACAACCATGCAAACATTGTTGTTTTTCCTCTGAAAATTTCACCAATTCATTGTAAAATTACTGTCAAAACTGTTGAAGCCAAGGACAAGGATTTTCAGGATATTTGATGAAGAATATTCTGTTTGCCTAAAGGACATGAGCATCTAAAGCTTAACATAGTATTTAATTACTCTTTGACAGAAGTCTTCCTCCATCTAGCCCAACAGTATAAATGATGATAAAAGAGAGTTGAGGGCTAAGATCAAGGAGGAAACATGGGGATTGATAATAGCCTGAAGTGTAATAAGATGTAAACTGCAGATAATAACGCGACAATAAAAAATCTCCACTCAGACTTACATTGTTTTTGCCTGACTTACAAAGCTAGAGTGCAGCTCAATTTTTTTTGTTACAAGGACATCACTGTTAACGCTGTCGAGAAATAAATTTGGAGCAAGATACTTGCAGAATTATTGCTTGCAGTCTTGTCTTGCTGCACATCAAGTCACATTGGCAAAATATGCTTTTCTTCCTCTACTCAGAAAACCTTGAAAGCACAACTTTCATTTCATTCCAATCCACCATATTCTCAAATATAGTTTGGTGAATTAAGTACAGTTAGATGCTGTCAGGCAATTCCTGATTAATGTCTCTAATGTCCAACGTATGCCCATTTGTTAAACCTTTTGAGTTCCATGTTTTTACCGTGCAGTCACTGAAAGAAATAAGTTAAAGACATGTTAAGAAAATAAGTTTTGATAAATAACTACAGTAAATCCTAATTCTGGTTCTGTAATGAGGTATTATTACATTATCAAAATATGTCGTTAAAAAAAATTGAATTCATCTCAATTTTCCACCTTGTGGCATTATAAACACAAAAAAAAGGCTCGAAAGCCATAGAATCATAAAATGGTTACAGCACAGAAGGTGGCAATTAGATTTGTCATGTCTGTTCTGGCTCTCTGCACGAGTAACTCAACCAGTTCCAATCCTTTGCTTCTTCTGTGTAGAGCTGCATTTTTTGCCCCTTCACATGCTAATCCAATTCCCTTTTGAATCCCACTCTCTTAGGCATCACTGTAAACTGGTGTTCACTGGATCTTGATTCTTCCGCAAATGGAAATAGACTCTGATGCCTCAAGTATTTAGCTTCTCTATCCAATTACCTCACTACGTTCTCTTCTCTGAGATCACCGACATTAGCTTCTCCAATCTACACAACTCAAGTGTGGAACTATTCTTGCGATTTTTTTTTTCAGTGAACCCTGTCTAAAACCTTCACAATCTTTTTTACGAGTCGTGCCCAGAATTTGAATCAAATTTTTCAGTTGGGGCTAAAACAGTATTTTATAAACGTCTTTCTAATCTCCTTGCTTTTATACCCTGTCTCTCATGATCAAGTGCAGGGCTGCATTTGAATTTTTGTCCCATTTCTCAAATTACTTTGTGACCTTCAATAATTTATGCCCTCAAGGGCAGGATTTAATGTCAAAGGTGACCTTCCCTCAGCCCAGTATAAATGATAGGTGTGAGCATGCCTCCAGTTTGCTGGCATGCCCTGATTCAATTTTTCAGTTGACAGGGATTTAACTGTTTTGAGACAAGATCTCAGTCAGATATCCCGCGTTATAGAGTTGCCTGAAGCTTATTGGAGGCCAGCAGTTCCAAACAAGCTTGGTGGCCACTGCCAGTATGACACTGAGGACATACATGATGCATTCAGCATTGGACGTTGCCCAACAACAAAGTCCTGGATCTTTGCTGTTGCCAGGCAGGAAAGAGTGAGGCTGACGGGGTAGAAGACGAGAAGGTAAAAACAAAGTAGGGTGCCTCGTATCGGCACCAGGGATTTGAAACCCCTTTGACCGACCACAAGCCCGTAAAAATCAAACCTGGTGGGCTACATTTGGGCACAGGACTCTCTCACTTCCCATTAAATTGGAATTGGGGCACAATGCAGCTCTTCAGAGGATACTAACAGCCATTTTTGAGCTTCAGTTCTGCTCTTACATTTGGGCTGGGACAGGCGGATGGTTGGTGGGCACAATGCTCCTAATTTTGTAGACCCACCTGCCAACTTTCCAGTCATAGGTCACTTTGCTCCAGTATTGATTTTGGATTTGTAACAAATGATGAATATTATATCTCTTCACCCCTCCGACTTCACATTTCTTTGTATTGAATTGAATCTACTAGGTGCTGGCCCATTCCACTCATCTGTCTATGTCTTAACATATACAACTACTTTAATCATTGCTCACAACACTTCCAAGATTTCCATCATCTGCAAATTTGAAAATGCACCTTGTACACCCAAGCCATTAATATATATCAAGAAAATGAGGGGGCCTAGTCCGGACCCTGGAGAATTCCACTGCATACCTTCTTCCAGTTTAAGCACAAGTGTTCACAACTCACATGCTGCCACTCAGCTTCAACTTTATTGGCAAGCCAGTAATGTGGAACATAATCAAATCCATTTTGGAAGTCCATGCCTACCATCAGCAATTGCAATCCCCTGATGAATTCTCTTGGTAACATCAAAAATATCCTCAATAAAATTAGTTGTATATGAACTGCATTTAGTAAATCTTAATCTATACGATTTATTGACCGTTAATTTTGTCTAAAAGCTCACCACCATTTAAAACAAATAGTCGAACTGACCTATAGTTGTTGGGTTTATTTTTACTCCTTTATTTGCATTTATCCAGTCTTCAAGGAGAATTAGAAGATTATTGTCAGTGTTCCACAATTTCTACATTTACTTTGTTCAGCATCCTTTTGAGCATTCCTTTTTAGTCCTAATGAATTATCAACTTCAGTACAGGTAGTCTTTTGAAAAGTCGTTTTATCAATTTTTAGCCCAACCAGTATCTCTATAACCCTCCACTGACTACGATTTTGGAAACATCTTTCTTGGCAATGACAAATGCAAAGTACTAATTTGGTAACTCAGCCATGCCCTGCACCTCTGTGTGTGGATCCTCTTTTTCATTTCTAACTGACCACACTCCTCAGTATAATTTTACGTTTCATAAGCATACAAATTGTTTTTGATTCCTTTTTATGTTGGTTGCAATTCTCTTCTCATTGGTTCTCTTTGTCTTTCTCATTTTCTTTTTTACTTCCCTTTTGCTCTCTACATTCAGCCTGAATTATCAACCTGATATCTATCATATGCATCCTTTACTTCTCCCTTTCACTTGCTTTCAGTATCCAAAGAGCTCTGCCTCTGATTCCCCAAGTATTTCCTCTGCAAGAACGTACTTCAACTATGTCTGAATCATCTGCTCTTTTTATGGAACCTTTATTTATTTACAGTTTTGACCAATTTTTAATTCCAATTTACCTGGAACTGATCAGGCTTCATTGCACCAAAACTGGCTTTCTTCCAATTCAGTATTCTTACTCTGATTGCACCCTGTCCTTTCCTAGAGCTAAGAAATTTTCTAGCTGTCCTTCTAATGTTTACCATCAATGATACAGTTTCAGGTCAGGTGGTACAGCTTTCAAGACAATACACTTTTTATGATTCTCTCAGTACAGTTCTGGTTGGCTATCAAGAGTTTATAGTGACAGATTGTCAAATCATTTCACCCACAAATTACTTTAATGAGGCACTCAAGTCTATTAGTCTGTTTCAAAGTGACCACAAACAATTCATGTCTACTTAGTGCTTGTTGGTTTCTACTTGGAAATATATTTTTCCTCCCTTTTCATGTTTCCCCAGAAAAAACTGTGATTAGGTTTATTTGAATATATTTAATTACATGCTTACAGCAAATTCTCAACCGTCATAGAAGTTGCCTATTAAAATTTTGTCCTCCTTTCCATGTCTGGGAAGTTTTCTTAACAATCATTTATATCACTTTCTGACAGGAGAACAATCATTGACAAGCTAGGTTTGGTCAACAGAAAGCAGAACTTAGACAAATATCTCGTCTCTCTACTGTGGTCTCATCAACCACATTTTGTTCAAAATTAAGTGCAGTTTAAGAACATATCATCCAAAGGTCACTGGCAGAATTAATTGAAAGGCTGCAAATGCTTGAATTATTTCAAAAGAAAAAGCATTTATGACATTATTCCAATCCCCTAAAAAAAGAAACATTTTGCTTAAGTTGCATCTTTCTACATAAGTCAGAACATACCTTTATTTAAATTCCAATAAACTGCGACATATGCCATATTGTACTGCCAGGGTTCATTTAAACTTTGACTTCTCACTACCGTCTAATTTCATACAAGGCTAAATGTACATTGTAATTTTAGGTAACGGTTGCCTTCACAGATTTTGCTCACCTATTCAAAACTCCAAGATTTGTGTGAATACAGTGAGGAAACAATTCAAGAAGATGCATGGATTAAAAAAACATAAAACAAACAGGGAATGAAATAAAAATATTGAAAATAAATGTGCTAGATGTTAATATTATTCCTGCATCTCAAATGATTAAAATAAAACACGGAAAGGAAATAGTAGAAGAAAGAAAATTGAATTCTGCTTAAAATTTCAACTTTCCTGTTTGAAGGTGACATGAGTATATGTATGACTCAAAATTCACTTCAAGTACTGTCACAAATTTCACATGTTTCTGTAAAATGGTTTGAAATTGGACAGATTTGCCAGTATGGGGAGGAAAGTTCAAAAAGAGATTTAGATTTGCATCTATGACTGGGAGAGGGGCTGGTACAATTTACCCCCATGTTTGAGTCCACTGATTAGAAACTCAGTATCCCAGTGGCATAACCCGACAAACATGACATAAGATAACAAGGTGTACAGCTGGATGAACACAGCAGGCCAAGCAGCATCAGAGGAGCAGGAAGGCTGATGTCTCGGGCCTAGACCCTTCGTCAGAAAAAAAAAGCATATCATCTCTGAAACATGATATAATTTATTTTGTGACAGGATAATTAGCACTTCTTATCATAAAAGGGTAAAAGCACTTTGAAAAGAATTTAAATACTTAAACCGGACAAAAGAAACTGCTCCAGAATAACCAATTTCTTCACTATCCCCCAAAATTGGGTTGTGGGAATTAAAAATGCATACTATTGTCAAAAAAATCTTCTGGATTTAATTTTCACAACAGTGAAATTAATGGCTTTCACTTTTATTCAGAAAGGCTTAAAAGACAAATCATCATACCAATGAGCAGCAAAGAAGAATCAAGTATGGAGCAGAGCAGAAATCAGGAGATTAAGGTATACTACTGGCACGACTCTTAATGGCAAGGACACGTCGAGGTAAACAAGGAGTAAGGCCTGCAATATAATTCCATAGCTTCACCCGGCAATCGCTGTAGCAGAAAGGAAAGAGAAAAGAGAGATAAAGGAATATAATACAAGTTTGGAAGATGTGAGAGGGAAAAGAGACCCAAGGATCCATTGATGCCCACTGAAGGACCTGCAAATAAAGATTTCTCCTTCTTATCATCTAGTTCTTGAACAAACACAAATTTTCACAAAGTGAAGTATAGCTATGTCATGAAATTAGACTGGCTTTTCTGAAGCACTCAGCAAAAGTACCCAAAACTTTCTTGGCTGAGATGAATGCACAATTAAATAAATACAAAGCTTATTTTCAACAATCAAGTTAAATAATGCCATGAAGCTAACATTATTTTAAATTACATCTAAAGTTTTGGTAATAGATTTGTTTGAGGTCCCTTACTAGTAAAATAATTTGATCACAATATTAATACCATTTTAAGCATCCATTTTCATAGACGGATAATGAGGCATTAAGTTTCTGGATTAGAAAGAAAGAATGTCCTCTGGTAATTTATTTGCTGGCAGCAGTTTGATCATGCTAGAAATTCTGTCTCATACTGGACATTGAATATTTTAATTTCCATCATCTGAGCCACTCTCTAATCACACTGTTGACATGTTCTTGCCTTTAGCCTCATATGGCATAAGTTCTTTTGAATTATTTTTTCAAAATAGGAAATGCAAATTCACTAAAGTATTTTTTAAAAATCTGATTTGAATGATCCCTTTAATTTTCATCTTTAGTTAAATTCACTTTATGCTTCCATACCTGCACTTCTATGCTGAGTACTAAAAAACAAAATGACAGTTTTGCATTACGGTACAATGTATTAAATGCACCTAATGGGAAACTTTTTAAACACACGTTAATATTTTTCTCTCTCCTGTGAATAGAGTTCCTTGTAGTCTAATGCCTCAACATTTTACATGACAATCGAAAGGTACAAGTATTCGTGACCCAAGAAATATCAGGCATCCCGAAACAGTTCATCCTGAATCATTTACCAAAGAAAAATTAATGGATATCAATACTATATACAGTACTCCAGAATGGGGTCTCACCAATGCCCTGTACATCCATACAAGATTCTGACTATCTGTTTTTATATCTCAAACTAGCTTTTTCCTATACTCTAATTTTTCCTTCCTTTAGTCATTCTTTGTTTTTTTTTTAACATTTTGATCAGCCATCTAAACTGCCATCCATCTCTTTGCAATTGTGTGTTTTTTTTTAATGTTTCAAATGATGTTTACTTTCCTTTTGGAATTCATCTGTCCCATGTATTCTGAAAATATTCCTTAAATATCTGCCACTGTATCTCTTTGACCTATACCTTAAAAACATGTTAACAAGTTGAAGTACACCAGTCATCAGAACCAAGGTTCTTCTGCTTCTGAAAATCTGCAGCAGAACTTCCTCCCTGTTTCAACAACAATGACCTTTCTTGGCAGAGTCACTGAATTGACTCTCATAAACCTGCATGACTGCTCATGACATACCTCGAAGCAGTGAAAATCCTGCTGGAGTTTGTGCAGATGGCATTAATGGGACTGTCATGGCCTCTGATCTCTCCCAGTGGTGTAAAGTTGTCTATGTTCCAAACTTTAAGCATTCCTCCTCGGCAACCACTTAGCAACAAATCACGACCAGGGACAAATGCCAGAGCACATACCCAATCCTTGTGAGCATTAGGTATTTGCTAATTGAAATTAAAATATATGCATTAAATACTTGTTTGGAAACATAAAATGTACAGCACAGAAATTAACTTATTGCTCTAGAAATTCTAATAATAATAAAGCAAATAAATCTTTAAATTGATACATCATTCTTGAAATTGCCACTCGTTATGATTAAATTATAACTGAAAATATAGAATCCTTACAATGCAGATAGAGATCATTCGGTCCATTGAGTCTGCATGACCCTCAGAAGAGTATCGCACATCCCCACACATACTATCTCCATAACCCGCATTTACCATGGCTAACCCATTTAGCCTACATATCCATGGGCACTACGGGGCAAATTAGCATGGACAATCTGCCTAACCTGCATATCTTTGGACTGTGCGTGGAAACTGAAGCACCCAGGGAAAACCCATGCAGGCATGGGGAGAACATGCAACCTCCATACAGACAGTCACCCAAGGCTGCAATCGAACCCGAGTCCCTGGCACTACAAGGCTAACCACTCAGCCACCATGCCACCCCTATATCAAATGGAGTGAAAAAAATTGGCTGAATTTTGGCAGCTGTGACATTGGGGACCACTGCCGGAGGCGAAGATAGATCATCCACTCGACGCTTCTGGCCAAAGATTATGATGACTGCTTCTGCCTTATCCTTTGCACTGATGTGGTAGGCTCAATATTGAGTTCAATAGCTTTACAGCCTGATTCAGTCCTTCTATGATTTTTACCCACTCTCATAGCCAATACTGTTTGACATGGGTTGCTTTTAGTGCAGCCAACCCATTTTCACCCATTCTCAGCACTCCTGTTATCACATCACATGATTTGTTTTCAGCACAGACTACCCACTTACTGCTACCCTCAGCCCTTCTCTTCTGTCCTGGCCTGCCATCCATAATCCCATCATTCATTTACCACTTTCATATCTCTCTTTTTCTGTCTCTCTGCCGCATCCCCCATCCCCCCCCACCTCCCCCCCCACCCCCCCCCCCCACCCCCACCCCCCCCCCCGCCCCCCCACCCCCGTGGACTGCATCTCCTCCTATGTGCTCATCTACCTCATTCCTACCTGCAACCTGGTTTTCAACATAATTACCGGTGTTTCCTAGCTGCTAACATTTCCAGACTCAAAATGCTAACACAGATCTACCAGACCTGCCAGCAATTTACGATTTTATTTGAAAAGGATCATTGATCCTGGGAATGAGATGACTAACATGGATAGGTGGCATGGGCAATGGTTTCAAAACACAGAAGACACCACTGTAGTGGAGGGCACACTGCCTAGGGCTCGATTGGCAGAACAAAGGGTAGAACTGATTAGCTTTACAATAAGCAAATGGAAGACCTGCACAGAAGAACGTAAAAATGACCACATATATCTTGTAACTTGGGGATGGCCAGAGAGTCAATGTAACCAATGTGATTGGAGGATGTATAAACATGCGACTCAAATTATGATGGGGGAAGCAGTCTCTTGGGATGTGAGAATAAACCATTGCCTTGTTTGTACCCACAACCGCCTCCGTCTCCTGTATAATTTGAACAAGATCACACAATGCAAGTCCCAGTTAAGTCCCAATAAAAGCTTCCATAATGGGGTCATGCTTTGTAGCAAGTGTGCCTAATAGATAGGGAAATGGTGGTGTGATGGAAATGCATCTGAATTAGTAATCCAGAACTGGAGGAGCAACACCTCATCTTCTGCTTGAGGACGTTACAGCCTTTAGGACTCATTATCGAGGTTAATAATTTTACAGCATGACACCTCCTTCCATGTTCATTACCCACACCTACACCCCAGGTGCTCTCATGCTTTCAGCACAGCCAACCCATCTTCACTCATCCAGCTTCTCTTCTTCCCTAGTTTACTATCTGTACCTCTTTGTGCACATAACATTTTCCCCTTTCTCTTTGGCTCCCTTTTCACCTGTCCACTCACACCCACTACCCCCCCACCCTTAAATAGAAACATTAACTCAGCCTCTCTCTCTCATCTGTGTGTTTCACATCTTCAGAATACAATTCTTTGTTTCATTGCAGTAATCCAGAAGCCTAGAGTAATGCTCTGGGAAATTGGTTCATATACCATTACTACAGCTACTGGAATTTAAATTTGGTTAATAAAATCTGGAATTGAAAGCTAGCCTCAAAAATAGTGACCATGAAATTAATTGTCTTCAAAACCCAAACTGGCTCACTAATGTCCATTAATGAAGCCAATCTCCCATACTTATCTGATCTTTTTTTAACTCATTCACAGGGATGAGAGCATTGCTGGGTAGGCCAGCATTAATTGCCCATCACTAATTGCCCAGCGGACAGTTAAGAGTCAACCACATTGCTGTGGGTCTGGATTCACATGTAGGCCAGACCAGGTAAGGATGGCAGTATTTCCTGACAATTGACAATGGATTCACGGTCATCGTTAAACTATTAACTCCAGACATTTTATTGAATTTTACCGTGGCTTTGAACCCAACTCCCCCAAAAGGGCTGCCTGGGTCTCTGAATTAACAGTCCAGCGATAATACCACTAGACCATCACCTTGCCTCTAAATGACTCTAGATCCACAGCAATGTGGTTGACTTTTAACTTGACCCCTGAATTGGCTCAGTCTGCCACTCAGGGACGTTAGTGATGAGCAACAAACTTTGGCATAAATGGCAACACCGACATCCCATGGATAAGTTGTTTTTCAAAATAGGTGATCCAATAATAACCTTCAAAATCTTTGCTCATACTTGGATGTGCACATTAAATTAATGTGTTATAGTATGTGCACAGAACTCAACTTTATCAAATAGGTATTGGCTGAAAGTTCATAACTGAATTATCATGATTGAAAATTTCATGAAATTACAGATTCTATTAATGACAAGAACCAAGAAGAATGTGTCAAAAAGCTGTTCTGAATAAATTAAGAACAATCATTTAACACTGCAGGTCTATTTCTCCTCGATATATTGGAGAACAACAATTACATGTAGCCTATCTGTTACAGAAGAAACTGTAAACTAACAAGAAGAAAATTAACTATAACATAAGTTTGCAGCCTTTTGCTCCTAATGCAGAGATCAAAGATGAAGTTTTGTACCTGTATTTGTTCTTGCCGTTCCAGGTCCCATTTTTTAATTCCATTGTCTCTAGATCCACTAAATAGAATATCCGCATGAATTGCCAAAGCTTCAATTCCATCATAATGGGGTGGTTCAAAATTATGAGTGGGACCAACATTCCCAAGAGTACTTTCAGCTATTTCAAACTTCTAGACAGCAAATATGTAGTTGTTAATATTTAATCAATTAATGCAAATTCAAACATTTTCATAAGGCAATTTAATAAAAAATGTCGATTAAACTCTGAAGGAACTTATTATTCTGGAAATTAATTTTCTGAAACAACCAGTAATAGTTTGATCTATGAAATGAAGCTAGACCATCACAATAAATATGACAAATTGTGCTTCAATAGGTAAATAATCTGTTCTAAGGTAAACTTCTGCACTAAAGTTGAAGTCAATATCAAATTTTAAAAAATAATTCCATTTCAGAGTTAGATGTACAGGCTCTCTTCATGCTCAACCAGATTAGCTCCAGCGTTGAGTGACAGCAGTTGATGCTGATGAGTCTGTATTTTTTTTCCAGATTATAGTTCTGCCCACAGCAGTGTTGTAACTTATTTGTTTAATTTATCAAACAGGAGATTTGAAGCTAGGTCACAAAGAAAGTATCTCAGAGCTGAGTTCTTGAGGGTTCTTGTGGCACAATGGTAATGTCCCTGCCTCTGAGCCAGTTTGTCCAGGTTTGTGTCCTTCCTGCTCCAGATGCACATACATTGTAAACTGCCTTGGTTTTAATCTGTTAACTGGGTGACTTGGTTTTGTTTTTAAACAAAAGAGCTGAATTCTTGATTGGATGTTTCGGGGATGTGTTTATAAAATTGAAAAAAAAAACTGAGTTCTAGGCTCTTATGTATGCAATGTAGAGTCATAGAGATCCACAGCAGAAACAAAGGCACTTTTGCTGTTCATGTCCATGCCAGTCAAAAACAACCAGCTAAATATTCTAATTCCATTTTGCAGCACTTGGCCCATGGCCTTGTCTGCTTTGGCATTTCAAGTGCCCATCTACATGCTTTTTTAATTGTTGTGAAGATCTCTACCTCTAAAATTCTTACAGATTTCCACCATCCTCTGGGTAAAAATATTTTTCCCCACATCTCCTCTAAACCATCTGCCCTTACCTTAAATCCATATGCCACTGTCATTGATCCTTCCATTAAGGGAAATGATTTCTTCCTGTCTAATTTATCCAAGCTAATTTTATACATCTCAGTCATGTCCCCTCTCAATCTCCTCCACACTAAGGAAAGTAGTGTAATGTGCCTATGTTTGGGCCAGTAAGCCTGGGTTCACAACTTACCTTCTCCAAATGCATTTCATAAAATATCTGAACAGGTCAATTAAAAGTATCTACAGATCAAGCTTAGAGCCTTACCTCATTCCGAATTTTCAAAAACAAAAAAAAAAATTGAGCTCTAGAGTCTTGTGGTGCAGTTGTAGGATTTCTACCTCCTAGGCTAGAAGGCACAGGTTCAAGTCTCACCTGCTCCAGAGGTGGGTCATAGCACACCTGAACAGATTGATTAAATACAAAATAAAGCTATGTTTTTAGATCTGGGTTCAAGTTTCATCTGTCCTGCACATGTGTCATAGCTGTCTGGATAGGTTAATTCAAATAACTAGGATCTGAATTCTTTAGAACTGCACCCAGTTGCTAAAGTAGCCATCAACAGATGGTGGGTCCAGATAGTGGGCAGTGGAGGGGGTCATGAGTCACAAATACCTGCCTCTCTCCTACGGCGATGCCTATGCCTATGCTTGGGTGACACATGGCATGTCCAATGATGCCCTCAAAGATTTGAGGCACTGTGAAGGTTGGAGTGCATTGTCTCCCTCTCTAACACTATTTTGACTTTGGCCCCTCCCTTCTTCTCCCACTCTCCCTTCTTGATTTTGTCACTGTGACTCTAGGGGTACTGTTTGTACTCAGGTGATTAGGTATTTAGTTCAATTGGCGGTGGGTTACTTGAAAACAAAGAGCTGAGTTCTTCTCCACTAGGGTGTTGATTTCTGGACAGGAAAAGGGTCCAGAATGGAAAGGTGAAAAACTGATGGATAAAACCTTTGTAAATCTCGAAGGATTTTGCTGCCAAATTCACTATATGAATATTGGTGCCCAAAGCACTGTGTAACCCAGATAATCATTGAGTTTTATTAAACTGATAAATAATCCATAGTACACTTGTCTGTGTAATAGTGCTGAACTTTACTTAAAATACTGCTCGTTTTTAATTAAACCAGTAGCTTCATGTTGCAAAAAGACAGACATTTAAAGATTGTATTGTTACTGAAGGGTTGCTACCAGGACTGGATGAATTGATCATGGTTTATAATACTGTGTATGGATCACAAAGAACATCACCTTCACGTAGTGATCTTTGGATCCAGTGATGACCAAGTCATGTTTTGTTGCCATTCTCTCCACTGTGAGGCACATTACTGGACCAATGTGGCCTGTGAGTTTCCCAACAGGTTGGATTCTAAACGAAGAAAAAGGCAAAAGTTAATATTGGAGCTAACCGAAGTTAGTTAAGCATTCAGACAATCAACATGTTGCATAATCAGCAAATCATTCTTCTAAAAATATACAAGCCTGACAATAGGCAGTGGCTTCATGGTCACCATTATTATTGGATTCAAATTCCACCATCTGCCACGGTGGGATTCGAATCCAGGTCCCCAGAACATTGTCTCTGGATTAATAATCCAGCGATACAACCACCAGGCCATCTCCTACCTCAAAGGCATATATAACCAGCGAATTACCATGCAAGGCAAAATTCTAAACCAAAAAGTAAAATAACTTTTTCACAAAGTTTATTTTTCACAAAGTTTATTATTCACAAAAATTATTAAGTTTTAAAAATTCACTCTCAGGTTTGAATGCAGGAACAGAAGTGATATTTATTGACCATCCCTCTTTGTCCTTTAACAAAATGGTGGGCCTCCTGCATTAAAAAGTTGAGTTCTAGTATTCTGAATCAGTGGCAATGAAGGAATGGCATCCATTTCTGGATGGCATGTGACTCGGACACAAACTTGGGGGTGATGGTATCCCCATGCACTTTTTCCTTCTAGGCAAATTGCTGCAGGGCATGCTTCATAATAGATAGTTCATGCTGCAGCCAAATATGGTAGTGGTGGAATTCATTAAATAGTTATGCTAGTGATAAAACTACTGATTAAGCCAAATTCTCTGTCCTGGAAGATAATATGATTCTTGAGGGTTGCTGCATGAGTCGTCAAGAAGTAAATGGGAGCGTTCTGATTTGTGGTTTGTATGCGATTGAGAGGCTTTGGGAATGAGCAGCTAAGTCTGACAAATTCACTTTTTGAAGATCATAGTCTTTTTCTATATAATAACCATATCTACATCTAATTTTCTATATCTAATAACTATATTCATTAAATAATGAAGAATCAAAATATCTGTTGGAAATGTTATTTAAGAATGTCAATTTTTATCATATGCACTGAAGTTAAAATTACCAGTAAGACATACAACAATGAATATATTTAGGAAAAATGCCTTACTTTTTAAGGTCCCAGATCCGAACAGAGTTGCCAGTAGCAGCATAGAGGAGCGTGCCAGCAGGATTCAGTGCAATCTGATTGATCTGGTGCTCACCTTGTGCAATTCTCACAGTGCGACTGGTTGTGCTGGCACAAGCATCGCCTGAAGTCACCTGACCAGAGGAACTGATCACATAAAATTGTTATTTGTTTTCAAAGTGGTACACATTGACATCTTGGAATTTGTTAGTTTCATTGCATTCAACCTCTGACTTCATTAAGTGGTTTGGCACCTGCAAGCCACTATCATCCTAGAAGGTGCTGTATGTGAGCTGTTATAACAGCAGGGACTAATTAGATGTCCAATCTGCATTCAAAACAATGTCTCTTGCTCTCTCTCAACAAACTACTGAGCCAAAATAATCTCTAATTTTCACATGAATAACCGAGTAAAATAAGAAGCTTTGTGAAACCACCAACTTAATCTTACTTTTCTTTCCTGAACTTCCTCTTTCCCCCACCCCAAAAAATCAATTAAAATTGATAACTTAGAGCAAGGTAAGGAGGACTGTTACGATTCTGACTGTATTAATCCATTAAAATGTCACTTAAAAATCTTCAAAATGCTCTTTACTTCTTGGTGTACATTGTCTTCAGGGAATCTATTACTTGAATCATGTTTTCAGCACAGTATTGCTATGGAAATATAGTTGAAATTGTAGTTCTTGATTGATTAATTCAATTGGGTTTCCTTAATAGTTGAAGTCGATCCTTTTATATTTCTCTGCTACACTTTCTGTTGCTGGCAGACTTTCTAATATAATGAATACAAGCAAACATAATTTTCCAAATATGGTCTGATTAGGATGTCATAAACTTTGAATATAATCTCATTAAACCTGCCTTAGCATCTCTATATATCCATTCTGTTATCATTACTAATTACTTTGGGGAGGTGGTGTCACGCTGGTACTGTTTCTAGACCTGTAATTCAAATCCCCAGGCTAATGTTCTGGGAACGTGGGTTTGAATCCCACCATGGCAGATAGTGAAATTTGACAATTCTAATAAATAACTCAATGTCAAAAATAGGTTCCAAGAATGGTTTGCATATACACCAGATGGGACAGTGACACTCCCCTCCTCCACCAGTTACATATCTTCTATTCTGCCATTCAAATTTCTGAACTAATATCTCTCAGCCAGGCTACGCTCCACTCATTTGTATTTTTGCTAATACTCTCTTGAGCAGAATGTTTGAAAGATTCTAAAGGCAATATCGAAAGTTAGCTCCCTGTCCACTGTGTTAATGGGCCACATAAAAAAATACAACTGAGGTTTATCAGATATGACATACTCTTCACAAATTCATCCTGATTTTCTGAAATCAGATCATTCTTGTTCAAGCAGTTAGTCGCACTCTGCATGATGACAGAGTCCAGTGGTCATTGGACATTAAATTGACAGTCTGTATTTTCCTGCTTTCTTCTTCCCCCTCTACTTAAACAGAGGAAGAAAAGTAATTTTCCAATCCAGTGCCATAATCCTGTTGAGTGGAGAGTTTTGTGAGAAACCATGAAGAACATACACAACTTCAGTCTGGAGTATCTCAAGAATTCTCGATTTCATCATTATTTTTAAAAAATCCAATTACATGCTATCCCCTTGATTCCTGTAAGTGTTTACAAATTCAGAAGGATTTTCTGCAAAATTTTGTGAAAGGCATACTGAAAATCCAAATTGACTGCCTCGATTATGGCCTCAAGAAAATTAAGCAAATATATTAGACAAGAGCATCCCCCTCTACACTTGTTTTCTGCTTCTGATTATTTATGTTAATGCAATAATTATTCAAATTTTGGCAGTTTATAATTTGTGTCACTGTAAGTGCTCATTTCCATATCCACGGATCCTCAATCATACATAATTATTCTTTATGTAAAAGTCATTACAATAGGTTCCTCTAATGTCTCAAGAAATTAGGTGCATGTGATTTACTAATCATACTTCCTTTCCAACTTAGTAAGCATCTATGGCACATTATAAAACCCTTTGGGATAGGGAATATACCAGTTTAATTGCTGAATATGATGCTTGTTTTACTGAGCAGTTCCAGAAATGTATTTAAAATTTTAAACATTTTTTTTCTTCCATAATTACACCATTATGTATAGATTTTAGGCTTTTAACTCACTATACTGCATCCAAGATTTCTGAAAAAAAAATTAACATCTATTTCAGTTTGTGCCATTCTCCTCAAAGTTATCTCCTTCTTTTAACTTGTTAGTTTTTCATAGTTCATTTTTCTTTCTCACTCTCCTTCAATTTAACTATTCAATCTTTCTGGGAATGTTTGTTTATTTGACTTATACAAGAGATTTATTCCATTTTCTTCAAAATGCACTCCCTTTTAATAAAGTTTCCAAGTTGATGCTGATATTATTATTATGTGTTTGAAACTTGTTCTACATGATTTTTTAAAAATATCCCTTACAGATGCATATTAGCAAATAACCTTACAAATAATTATATATCCAGCAGATACAAGTCAATTTAATATAAAAGTAACAGGTAACTACACAAAGAAACCTTTTCCAGCAAGCTAGTCCAATCAAAAGGTGATGCGTGTTAGGAATCCTTTTCAAGCTGCTGATATCAAGGAAATGCTGTTTGCAAAAAGAAATGAGCTGGATATAAATAATAGAATTATACGATATAGATATTGTATTGTTTCACTCAATGATCTTCATGATTTTTCAAACTTGCACTCAGGAGAATACAAAGCGGGGCAACAGCTTATGGGTTGTACATGTTCTTTGGAAGGACTAGACGAACTGAATGTTGTTCCATGTTTCGTAGAATCGTAGAATCTGTACAGTGTGGAAAGAAGCCATTTGGCCCATCAAATCTACACCAACCCTTGAAACAACATCCCACCCAGACAGAGACCCAGCCACCTACCCTATCCCTGTAACCCCACATTTAAAATGGCCAATCCACTTAACCTGCACATCTCTGGACTGTGGGAGGAAACCAGAGTACCCAGAGGAAAGTCATGCAGATATGGAGAGAATGCGCAAACTCCACACAGACGATCATTCAAGGCTGGAATAGAACCTGGGTCCTTGGCACTATGAGGCAGCAGTGCTAACTAATTGAGCCATCATACCACCCCATTTCTTATTTTTATTAATAAACCTCAAGCGATGGGGTTTAACATATATGCAATCGATAGCCTTTCCATCAGACTTCTCATGGACCAGACCAAACCCCCTTCAGATATTTCAAGGAGATAGCCTAGACCCTAACTTTTCTCTTATTTAAAGGCGAATGTTAAGGTGCTGTGTTCCAGATGTAATTCAATTGATTACACTACTCAGCTTTAAGTGAAATACACTTTATTCTTAGCCTATAGTTAAAATACAAATAAAAGAAAGATGATTTGGTATAACCTTCACTCTGCTAGAAAACTTAATAGAATAATGGATTATTTAACTAATAAACAGCAACTGTTCCAATATAGTAACATCCCATAAACACACCCTAGGCAAAGGCAAATTCAGAACAATAGATAGCCTCACATGCAATGTTTCTCCAGTCCAGAAGGAAATAACATCAAGAGAAAATTCTGGCAGAGAGAGAGAGAACCCAAGCTTTTTAGCTGTTGCAGAGAGATGAATAATGAATTCCACTGCCAGCTTCAAAACCCCAACAACGACTGAAAGCTAAACTAAAACCCTGGTTCTGTGGGAGTCTGACTCTACCCATTCATACTGCTTCTATTGTTTCAACTTAAAAGAAAACCCAAGGCCTCAGAAGCTGTTTACTTTTCTAGCTTGGAGGAAATACCTTTATGGCATTTATGGCTCAAAACCTCGCTTCAAAAGGAAAAAATAAACAGGGCAAAATAAACCTCTTAAAGCCATAGTATCGACACAGACTATAGGGCGAGTTCCTTACGTTAGTGTCCTGATGCATTTGGGGCTCTCTCGGATATCCCAAACTTTGATGTACGATGTCGAGACAGTAAACACGAGACTGGAGTAACTGCAGTATTTGACAGAGACAACATTGTTTGGATGCCCTTTCAGGGTACTGATTTCCTGCCCAGTAGCCAAATTCCACACTTTACAAGTTCGATCTAAATAAATTATAGAGCACAAAATTAAACAAGGAACAGAATTTTATTTTAAAAAATTGAGTTTTTTTTTTACTGTTACAGAAGGAAATTAGAAACAAAATATAAATGACCTCTCCTAGCACTTAAATAATTTTCTCAATGATCAACAGACATATACAATTAAACAAGCACAGAATGGTCTTCCTGAATGGATAAAGGAAACAACTTGATTTATCTGTGTCCCATTACCGTCTTTTAAGTTTTAAATTGCTGGTTAGAGGCAATCTAGCAAAAACAATTTTGTAGATCACCTCTATTAGTTCAACATCATGTGCAGTGTTGTCCATCATCCAACAGGCCATTAAACAAAATTTTGTCTTTGACTGGCTGAAGCCAATATCTGTTAAAGCATGTCAAATCAATACTCAAAATACATGGGGAACAGCAGGAGAATCACCTCCCAAAATTTCCAAAATGCACACAAAAATTTACTCATGGGAAGACTAATCAGAGAAAGGTCCCTTCCATTCTATTTATAGAGTGAGAGGGGAAAAAGGGTGAAAAGCTACTCCTCCAATCGGAGGCTGACTTTCTTCCATGCTTGGTATTGATAGGTTCATTGGTGAAATTATCAGTTTGAAATGTGAAAGAGAAGCAGCCTGTGACTGCAGAAGCAGTGACAGCTGGCAAAGTAAGTGCAGGCATTGATGGATTTGCTGGGGAACCAGGGAGGCTGAGATTTGTGAGCATGAAGGTTGGTGGCCAGGGCAGGGAGCCAGCTGCTTTTTTGTCCAGGCCGAAAGGCAAAGCTTATCTTTTTTAGGGAGAGCAGGAAGCAGCCCTTCTGCCTGATTGCTTTGGAGGCTTTGTGAGAAAGTGAAGACTGCAGAGAGCTTAGGGTCTCAAAAGGGGCAGTAAGAAGGCTGTGTGGAAACTGGGAGTCTGGAATGGGTTTGGGAGAGGGTTTAAGCTGGAGAAAACAATGAGGAAAGTCAAGAGCGCTGGTGGGAGAAAGAGAGGTCACAAAGGTATAGGATTTTTTTGGGTGTGGTTAAGATCAATAAGCTGCATGTTGCAAGGGAAAGAGTGAGTGAGAAGGAAGTTGCAAAGAACGGAGAAAGAGGGATCAAATACAAAGAAGAAAGAGTTTCAGACCTGGTCAACAAAGCAACACTCCACTAACCAGTAGCTTGGTTAATTAGAAATTACTGAGTTAATGAATTATTTGCAAATGAATATATTTGCTTAAGGCTGTGAATGGACTGCTCTACGAGGAAGACTGTAGCTGATGCTGTTGTAATGAACACTGTGTCAGTTATTAAAAAAAAACTTAAGACTGAAACTAAGATGCAATAAAAAAGATAGTAGTTGCTTGGTTTATAAATTCTAGCTTTGCGAATGTATTGGGGAAACAGATCAGTTGCAACTTCAGCAGTCTGTGGAAGGTGTGTTTAGTGTCATAGCTTTTTGTGTATAGAAATTACACATCAGAAATTAATACTTTTCTGATATATTTTGTCTGTATGTTTAATGGGTTGATAATTATTGAGGATATTAATGAATTCTTCGAATTCTGCTTCTGTGTGAGACCAAATAACATGCATCAAGTCAAGTACTGAAGATAGTGTTACATGACTGCATTAGCCAAAGCAGAATTTAGTAAGAATGAAAAAGTGGCTCCTGAAGATCAAAGAAAAAGCCATCGAGAGGAGCCCTTGAAAATTAAAATTGTGCCCTTTATATTTGATAGTACTTCCTATTGGTTAATGTAGGAGCCTTTGCTTACTCCATTTTTACTTCTCAAAAATATCCAAATTATACCTCTTTGACATGCTAATAATGCCTTCAACTTGAACAGCTATGCCTTTATATTTATTAGATGGACACTTAACACATCAAATCATGCCAACAAAGAAATTAGCATTCAGAAATCCTCGCACAATGGGGCTGCAATCTCAGCCAATCTGTCCCCAAGCTGATGCAATGAAATGGAAAAAAGAAATTAATCTGCACCATTCCCTGCAACTTTCAACCATCTGGTTGGATTGCAGTGTTGGCACAGCTCTATGCACATGACATGAGCTGGCAGCAAGAGACAAATGTAGTTTAAAAATTATTTTTTTCTCCATCTTCAAATATTTTACCTGTTACCAGGACAGGTTAGTATAGTACCTGTTCCTTAACTGCACAGTGCCAGAATTAGAGAGTGTTTTTACAATTTAAAAAAGGTGAATATATTCTATCATTTGCAAGAATACATCATACGTTGCTGCATTAAAAACAGTGATTTAATCAAAAATTGCAAATAATCTCACGTCATTTGGGATTGGAAGTAATTGAGAATGAAAACATAGTCCCTGAAGATCAAATCTAAAGGAGACTGTAAGTTTCAATGGTGGAATTCAAAGGGGAATTGGATGTGCACCTCAAGATGAATAAGATGAGCAGTATCAAGTGGAAGCCAGGGGGAATAAGGCTAGCTGAACTGCTCTTGCTGAGAGCCAGCGTACACTCAACCAACTGAATGGCCTTCCTCTGTGCAGAAACTATTCCATGAATCTTAATCCAACGAATGGTTGTTCCTTTCAAAGTCAATATTTCTGTAATCAATTTTCAGGAACTGTGCATTTAAAAGGCACATGAAATATTGAGCATATTACGAGAAGGAACAATTTTCATTGCCTGAAACTTGCACAGTAATTTTGTACTGGTTCAATGCCCAATATAAAATACAACAAAAATGCAGCTAAGAAATACAGGCACGTACGTCAGATCTCAACACTGAAAACAACTGGAACAAGTCAGAATAATTTGTAATGGCAAAATGCCAAGATAAGTTACAGTCAAAAGAAATGGATTGCATATGCTTAAGTAGTAATGAGAAACAATGCTTTAACAGTCAGAATCAAATGTTCCTTTCCAATATCTTCCAGTGCCCACAGATTATATTAAGCTTTTCTAACTTATAGCACAGCAAAACATGATAACCAAGTTTTAAAATATTGTTAAAACACTTTACTGATGGCAACTGACCCTGTAGATGGAGGATAGAAAGAGAAAGAAATTGAAATTGCTTGTTAGGGGGTTATATTTTTCTGAAGAATGAAGCAAAGTACAAAATTGATGAAAACTGTGTGCAAGTTGGACATGGGACACTTTTTCTCCAATTCAAGACAAGCCAGACTCTTTTACAGTGGATAAAAGCCGGAAGAACCACAGATGCTATAAATCAGAAGCAAAAACAGAAATTGTTGGAAAAGCCCAGCAGGTCTGGCAGCATCTGTGTAGAGAGATCAGAGTTCTGAGGAAGGGTCACTTGACCCGAAATGTTAACTCTGATTTCTCTCGACGGATGCTACCAGACCTGCTGAGATTTTCCAGCAATTTCTGTTTTTGTTTCTCTTGCAGTGGATCCTTCCAGCCAGAAACAAAGTTCACCGCATTGGTTTAGAACAAACATGAAATCCCAGAGGTAAAATGTCAGCTTGGATGTTGCTGTGGCACCCAGCCTCACATCTCTCCTCCCCTCACTGAGTTCTTACCTTTCGAGCCTGTGAATAGCAGGTCATTAGTCGCATCCAGACACAGCACAGGTTTAGAGTGCCCTTCAGCAACAGAAATGCATTGGAGTGGGGCAGTCCTGCTGCCTTTGGCACCACCAACTGGATTAATCACACCCCTGATAAAAGAACAGAAGATTGGATCATAAACACCTGTTCTCAAAAACTGGCTCATTGGAATGGCTTCTATTTTTTAAAATAACAAAAACACATGAGATGATTTTGATGGAAATCCTATACTACTTTCACTTTCTACAACCAAGGGGCAAAAACAAATTGTGATGGTGGTCAATCAATCATGCACCAATATTCCAGATACAGAACAACTGATCATTGCAATATATCCAATGCAAATATGATGTCTGAACAATATTTAGAAGCACACAAACAAAAACAAAATTACAGAGAGTGAATGTTCAATATTTCCTACTTTTGATTAATTTGGATGAATTTGCACGTGACTATTAGATAAATACTTTTATTCAGTAACATTTTAAAATTACAAGATGTTGCAATGTTTAAAAAAAAACCAGAATCATAGAATCCCTACAGTGCGGGAGGCCATTTGACCCATCCAGTCTGCACCGACCCTCCAAAGGACATCCCACCTAGACCCTGTAATCCCATGCATTTATTTTTACCATGCCTTAGATGCCACTGAACGGAAACATGCATTCAATTAAACTACTTAAAGGAGTGAATTTCCCAGCTTGTCAGTAAAACAGGGCCCTCCGCCCTCCAAGGTAACAGAGTTGACCTTTTCTTTCTGGCAGGCTTGGGACAGGTTCTCTGGGAGCAGGAAATCTCACCCAATGCAGCTGCTGGCCAATCAAAGGTTGGCAGCTCCTGCACTCAACAGCGCCATGGAGGTAACTGTGGCTGCTGGTGGAAGAACACTTGGGATCGTGGATGAATAAAGGAGTAAAGCAAGCGATATTTGTGTATGTGTGTTTACACGTGTTTGTGCGTTTACGCGTGTTTGTGCGTGTGTATGCACGCACGTGTGTGTGCAGCAAGTGAGTGGTGTAGAAAAAAAGAGAAATGCTAGGGTTGAGGTTTATAGTGAGAGGAGACAGGAGAATCAGAAGCAGTGGCCTGGGTGGAGTGAGACAGTGCACGACCTGACAGCAGCTCTTCAGTCAAGTAGCCGTTGTGACAGGTCCCCATGCAACTGGGTTTAGTTGAAGCAAGCTGAAGCCTTGAAATAGTCCTTATTTCCAATTAAGGGCCTCAACTAGTAAATGTGTGGAAACATTGAATACAGGCCTCCTTGCTGGCATCTTAATTCTGGTGGAGGCAAAAAGGTGGTGTTGTGGGAATGCCACCACCCCACCCTGAATTCCATCGTCTTCTCGCCTCCAGGTTTGCCACCTCTGGGAGCAAGGTTCCCGTCCTTGCTTATTCTCCAAAAGACACAATATCCAGACTTGAATATATACCAGCGGATACCACTTACCCTCTCTAGATTTTTGTATTTAGAACACATCAGTGTGATATTGTGTCTCTCAGTTTTCTGCTCCTCTCACTCAGTATAATGTGTCCCTCTGGCACGAGGTACTCCATCTCTACAAGTTTAATCCTAAATTCTTGACAAAGGGTGCACTGTTGCTTTTTTTTTGCCAAACGGACTTTTACTGAGGGAAAGCTGAGGGAAACCCCAACCCTCAGTCACTTCCTTATAGCTCTCCCCAGATCACCAAGTGTTCAGCCATTATTAACAAGCCTGCCATTAACTTCATCTTAATTCCAGATCCAACCTAAACCCCTTAACTCTGCACATATCACTTCTAACTCCTATCCAAAACCCACAAACTAGGAGGTCTTGGTAGACCCATCATTTCAGCTTATTCTTGTTCCCACAGAACTGATTTTCTTCCACCCTTGTCTTTGCTTAATTTCTTCACCTCTGGACAAGTCTCTTCCCAGCTAAACATGTGACTCTCTTCATTCCCATTGCCATTTTAATACTTTCTAGTGTCCTGTATTTCATGATGTTTAGAAATTACGGGATTACCTAACTGAAGTTTCCACAATGTTACGGGCAGCAAATACGGGAGATAGAGAGAAATTATTTTCACAGGTTGGGAAAAATCTGGGACAAGGCCTAAAATTTACAGCTAAACCTGACAGAAATGAAATTTATGAATTCTTCTTGGTGGCCAACGGTGACAGAAATTTAAAAGCATTTTGCAAATGGCAATTAATGCCAGTTCAGTTGTTAATTCTAAAGCTGAGATTGAAGCTTTTTGTTACCTAAAGTTATTGAGATATAGGTCAAAGGTAAAGTATGACTTTAGGTTACTGATTAGCCATGATCTAATAAAATGGTAGAACAGACTTGAGGGGTTAAAATGCCTGTGCTTAAATGTTTTCACAGGTTTTGCCTCAGCTCTTCTATATGGAAATCTGATCCATTTTCTGATCACTCTTTATATAATAAAGGATTTCCTGTTATCAGTCAAAATTAACTTCACATGGTTTAAACCCGTTTTGCTTACATGATTTAGTTTATTTCTTGATTAATGCTTTTCATTCTTTAAATAATTTTACTCACGTCTTCAACAACACTTTAAGGATCCCTTTTTGCTAGACCAAAAAGCCTAAGTAATTCCACTAACAGCCCTGTAACATGAGATCAGCCACATGGTTCTTCTCTCTATTGCTACCAGTACTTTAAAATCTGTCTTGCTTCAATGTGATCAGAACATGCTGTGACATTCAAAGGGAAATCTAATTAAACACTTTGAAATTTGAACAATACTTCCTCGGATTCACACTCTATTGTGTTACTTAATTGTTCAATGTTTCATTGGTTGCTAGTTCATCTATATTGGTTGAATATACTGAGCATCAAGTCTACTAAGGTGCCTACATTTCTTTCAACTTCATCCTAAGCTAGAACATACACAGCATTTGTCTCCATAGATTTTCCTATCTCTCAACCAGCTCTCACCAGCAACTCCCTACCCCAAACGCTTTGTAAATTTCTGCAGCTCGAGATCTCCAGATGTTTTTTCATTCTCTTCTGGGGTGTGGGAGTCACTGGCTGGTCAGTGTTTATTGCCCTTCCCTAATTGCCCTTGGGAAGGTGGTGCTGAGCTGCCTTCCGAACCATTGCAGTCCATGTGCTGTAGGTAGACCCACAATACCCCTAGGGAGGAATTCCAGGATTGTGACTCAGCGACAGTGAAGGAATGGCAATGTATTTCCAATTCAGGAGGATAAGTGGCTTGGACGTGAGCTTGTAGGTGGTAGTGTTTCCATGTCTCTGCTGGCCTTGTCCTACTGATGCACATGGCCTTGAGTTTGGAAGGTGCTATCCTGGGATCTTGGGCTAATTTCTGCAGTGCATCCTGCATAGCTCCACAATCTGCTAATTCTTGCCTCTTGTGCATCCCGAATTTTCCTGGCTGCACCACAGCTTGCTGGGTCTTAAGTTGCTTACGTTCCTAAGCTCTGGATCTCCCAACTTGAACCTCTCAATTGTTTCTCCTTTTAAGACATGCCTTAAAACATATCTCTTTGATCAAGATTTTGGTCACCTTTGGTAAATTTCAATTTTGTGCCTTGGTTTCAAATTCTGTTTGACAACTGCTGTTGTGAAGTGCTATGGGACGTTTTACAACATGAAAGACTCAATGTAAATACAAGATGCTGTTGTTGCATGCATCATAATGATATATACTTCGAAAATTCAGTCATTTATATTTGCCTATAAAAAGACTTCTTGTGCTATTGTCAGAGATAGTAAGAACTGCCGATGCTGGAGTCAGAGATAACACAGTATGGAGTTGGAGGAACACAGCAGGCCAGGCAGCATCAGAGG